CAATCCGGCCCTAGTCAATCCCTTCTCTCTACTTTCCGAAACAACAACGCAAAAGATGAGCGACCGAAGCCCGTGAAACCGGAGCCCGCAACGGACGACGAGCCCATTAGCTCCAGTGAAGAAGACGATGCCGTGAACGAGGACGACTCCGAGCCCGAAACCCGCACACGGGTCTCGGGCCCCAGCTTGGATGAGAAGCTCGCCAAGAGCAGATCGGAGACGACGCCGCGCGCCCCGCGACAACAAAGAGGAAGCAACACAAAGAACAGTACCCCGACAACGGGCCGCAAACGGACCTCGCGTGAGATGGTGGACGATGACGCGGATGAAGATAAGGATGAGGGGTTTTTCGCCTCGTTTCGTGAATTGGATAATGGGAATAAGCGACGCAAGAGTCGGGGGTATCAGTCGAGGAAGTCGTTTGTGAACTCGTCGCAGTCACCGGCGGGGAGTGTTAGAACCCCGAGGGCTTCGAAGGATGAAAGCAAGAGTATGAGTAATGGTTCGAAGAAGAAGGGGAAGGAGTTCAAGGTTCCCAGGGATATTGAGGACGAGGCAAGCCCGGCGCGTGCGTCGAGCCCCAAGCCTGAATTCAAGCAGCCTCCTCCGATGCCTGAACCTAATGACATGATCTCGAGCTCTTCGCATGCTACTTCTTCTGCCTTGGATGCAGCGGTCTTTGATGATGACGATTCCTCGGTCGGCACGCCCCTTAGTACGGCGTCGTCTAGCTTCATGGACGAACTCTCGCGGTACGGAGAAGCGGCGCTGTTAGATGAACCGGCCGTGTGTCCGTGGTGCAAAGCGCCCGTGGACCCGGGGGAGCTGTTGCGATTCCGGGCGCAACCGAAACAGCGCATGCGCGAGCAGCGACAATTTTGTGACTCTCATAAGCAGTCTTCTGCGGAGCAGGAGTGGAGGGAGAAGGGGTATCCGGAAATTGACTGGGATACGTTCGATGAACGAATCAGTCGGCATTTCGCGGACCTGGAGACGATCATGGTGCCGGAGAGTGCCTCGTTCTACCGGAATAGTCTGGATACGGCGTTGAAGACCGGACAGGCTAAGAACTTCCGTCTGTCGCTGGACGGAGACGGACTGGAAAAGATCTCGTGTGGATATTACGGGACTCGAGGGGCTGGGAAAATGTACGCTCCACCCTTTCATCTACTTGATATGGCTCTATACGGGTAGGCTAATTGAAACAGGCTACAAGCGATCACAGCGCGATATGGGCGGAAGCTCCGTCGGTTAGCGGCCGATGATCAGATTGTGAAGATGGCCGGGCCCGTCGGATATGCGCAGGCGGTGCTGGTGCCAGAGTTGGCGGTGCGACTGGTCAAAGAGGACATGGGAGTCAATGAGGAGACGGCACGGCAGATTCTTCGTGAGACAATTGATCTCGGAGAGAAGGTGAACTTCGCCTTGAATGACGAGGTGCCAGTGCCGGAGGAGTCTGACGCAGAAGTGCAGTGAGATGCAGGTAGGAGTAGTGGTGGTGATGTGTTTTGGAAGGGATTGTTATTCTTATACTGGTCGGACTCTGTTCATTGGACTGTCCAGTGACCAAAGCTATGTTGTATATAAGGCGATGGGTGATACCTCTCTGTTAGCTAGTCTGTTGTGTGTTGTAATTTAGCCGGGAGAATTGTCTCATATGGCGCTTGCTGGAGACGAATTGACACCATTACGACTCCACAGTTGGTGATGCTTCAAGTCCGGCCGAGGTGGAGCCGGCGATAAGATAGCGGAGACTGCTGATTAGCTGATAGCCTTGGTTACGTCGTGCGGAGCTGCCCGAAACCCTTCCTTCCATTGCAAGTAACTAGCTGGTCTAGTCACTACTAACTACTACTACTTACTGCAGTAAGTTACTCCTCACCTCCATCTCTCTCTCTCCCTCTCTCTCTCTCTCTGACTCTGACTCTTACTCTTGCTCTTCCTCCATCCACACTTCCATCTCCCCTCTTTCATGAGATGGATAGTATTCCATTCTATCTCTTATCCCTCTAATCCCTTATCCCAATCATGCCCCCCGAAATGCGGGAAAAGGCCCATGCCTATCACTACTCCACAATGCCCAGCGAATCCACGCCTCTCCTCACCACGGTCGGCATCCGTCCCCATCGTCACCGCTACCCACACCACTCTCTCCGCCGTTTCTGCACCATCATTCTCACTTCCATTCTTACCCTCTCCCTCTGTCTCTTCTTGACCCCCACCGCCCTCCTTCCCCGCGCCCACGGCTCCATCTGGAGCTACCTCCCCTGGGCAAACCCCTTCCCCCACTCCTCCTGGCCTGAAGGCCACGGCCTGAGCTACGCTGAACTCCAAGCCATCTTGAAAGAAACCCCCAGCGCCGAAAAGGCTCGCGAATGGAGCACTTACTACACCGCTGGTCCGCACCTGGCCGGGAAGAACCTCAGCCAGGCAGTCTGGACCAAGGACCGCTGGGCGGAGTTCGGAGTCCCGGAGACCGATATCGTAGCATATGATATCTTTCTCAATTACCCTGTCGATCATCGGTTGGCATTGCTGAAGAAAGACGAGGTCGTGTTTGAGGCAACCTTGGAAGAGGACGTGCTCGAGGAGGACCATACCAGCGGGTTGCCGAACCGCGTCCCTGTGTTTCACGGCTACTCGGCCAGTGGAAATGTCACAGCGCCATATGTGTTTGTGAACTATGGCACTGTGGACGATTTCCAGGACCTCGTGGACCGGAATGTCAGTCTCGGAGGCAAGATTGCTATTGCCAAGTATGGACGCATCTTCCGCGGATTGAAGGTCAAGAGAGCGCAGGAATTGGGCATGTCTGGAGTGATTCTGTATGATGATCCCGAGTCGGATGGGGAGATTATTGAAGAAAATGGCTATGCTCCGTATCCGGAGGGGCCGGCCAGGAACCCGAGTGCTGTTCAGAGGGGAAGTACCCAGTTCCTGAGTAAGTTATCCTATCTTCCGCCTGCTTGTTGGATGGAGAAGCTAAACTGAGTAGGTATCGCACCGGGTGACCCAACTACCCCCGGATACCCATCCAAGCCGGGCTGTGATCGCCAGGACCCGTATGAGTCTATCCCCTTGATTCCTTCTCTGCCCATCTCATACCAGGAGGTGGTGCCGTTGCTAAAGGCCCTGAATGGCCACGGTCCCAAGGCGTCTGACTTCAACGAATACTGGCAAGGCGGTAAGCTAGGCAGCAAGGGCGTCGAGTACTACATTGGCCCGACCCCGGATGATGTCCAGATCAATCTGTACAATGAACAGGAGTACGTGACGACTCCTCTGTGGAACGTCATTGGCATTATCAAGGGTGCCATCCCGGACGAGGTCGTGATCATGGGCAACCACCGCGATGCCTGGATTGCCGGTGGCGCTGGAGATCCGAACAGCGGATCTGCCGCTCTCAACGAAGTTGTGCGCAGCTTCGGCGAAGCGCTTAAGGCCGGATGGAAGCCGCTCCGAACCATTGTCTTTGCCAGCTGGGACGGTGAAGAGTACGGATTGCTGGGTTCTACCGAGTGGGTGGAAGAGCATCTGCCCTGGTTGTCCAAGGCCAACATTGCCTATCTCAACGTGGACGTGGCGGCGTCGGGAACGAGCTTGCGCCCGAGGGCCAGCCCGCTGCTGAACAAGCTGATCTACGAGGTCACCGGTCTGGTGAAGTCGCCCAACCAGACTGTGCCTGGACAGACAGTCCGGGACCTCTGGGACGGCGACATTGCCACCATGGGCAGTGGCAGTGACTTTACGGCCTTCCAGGACTTTGCGGGTGTGGCGAGCTACGACCTCGGATTCAGCCGCGGTCCGAAGGACCCGGTTTACCACTACCACTCGAACTACGACAGCTTCGACTGGATGGACCGGTTCGGCGACCCGGGCTGGAAGTACCATGAAGCAACCACCAAGATCTGGGCTCTGGCAGCGGCCAAGCTGGTGGAGACGCCGGTGGTGGCCTTCAATGCTACGGACTACGCGCTGGGCCTGGAGAAGTATCTTGACAAGATCAAGCCGGCGGCGAAGCAACTCCCCGAGGGGGCATCGTTCGACTTTGGTCCGCTCGACGCGGCGATCGCTGAGTTTCAAGCGGTGTCCGCGAAATTTGACGCTTACGCGGCGGATCTGAGCGCGCAGCTGGGCGACGATGTGCCGTGGTACCACTGGTGGAAGAAGGTGCGACTCTACTTCCAGATCCGCATCGTCAACGACAAGTACAAGGGCATTGAACGACAGTTCCTGTACCAGCCGGGCCTGGACGGGAGAAGCTGGTTTAAGCACGTAGTGTTTGCACCGGGCATCTGGACGGGATACTCAGGCGCGACGTATCCAGGATTGGTGGAGAGCTTGGAAGCGGGTGATTTGCTGAATTCTCAGGTGAGTAATCCAGTACCTACCTCGCTGATTTAATTTTCAGCGGCTAATGGGGTTCTAGAAATGGCGCGCGATCATCATCGAGCGCATTGAGGCTGCGACGAAGCTACTGCAGTAAGTCAGATGGACGTGATTGGGGATGAATGCCGATTGGCGGGATGGCAGGTGACTGCCGTTAAGCAAGGGAAGTTCAAGGGAGGAGAGTCTGGATGTATGTATGTCTTATTGGTGTATGTGCAGAGTCTTTCTTTTCAGTTGGAGAATATAGGATAGGATAGGATAGGACGACAGGGAGATTACGATTAGTACGGAGTAGTGATAAGTAGATAGCAGGGTAGAACCGAGCCATGTTTATCGCTTACCGATTATCTTCAAGTGATTGATTGCTTACTTTCCCCGCCGGCGATCGACCCACCGCGAGGCTATTCGCCATTTTAGGGCCTGCTTAGCGTGTCTTGAGACTGTCTTTCTACTGCCGAGTGCCGATTAGTTGGTCGGCCCCGGTCACACGCGCTGCTTGGTTTGAGTCTTACTCCTCTTGTTTTCTTTTCCTCTCTCTCTCTTTTTCTTCTTCTTCTTTTTCTTCTTTCATTCCTCTCTTCAAAAAATATTTTGGTAGTGGTCTGCTCACCATGTTGGAGAAACCCGCCCGGCTGCCTGTTCGGCAGCTGGTCATTCTCTGTATGTCCTGCACGTTATTATCCCAAGCTGATAGCTGTATACTGACCGATATACCACATAGCAATATGTCGCTTCGCAGAGCCGGGTACGTTCACTCAACATACCCTCCTCCTGAGTAAATTCTAATGCGATATAAAATACAAAAACAGTCGTCTTGACCTCCGTCCTTCCCTACCTGGTACATCCCATCCCATTAAAAATACCACAGAACTAGAAGAAAACTGACAGAAAGATATAGCCCGAAATGATCGACCATGTCGGCGTCCCCAAATCCGAAATCGCCAAATGGGTCGGCATCACCACCGCCGTGACCTCTCTCTCGCAGGCCCTCATGGCCGTCACTTGGGGCACTCTCTCCGACACTCTCGGCCGCAAACCCATCATCCTAGTCGGGCTCACCTGCACCATGGTCTTCTCGCTTCTATTCGGCTTCTCCTCGTCCCTCTCCATGCTAGTCATCTCCCGCGCCCTGCTCGGGCTCATGAACGGCAACGTGGGCATCATCCGCACCATGGTCGCGGAAATGGTGCCCCAGAAGGAACTTCAGCCCCGCGCGTTTAGTATCATGCCGCTGGTGTGGACGATCGGGAGTATTTTTGGTCCGGCGTTTGGGGGCGCGTTGGCGAGGCCCGCGGAGAAGCATCCAGGGTTGTTTGGGGGGTCAGAGTTCCTCAGGAAGTGGCCGTTTGCGTTGCCGAATATTGCTTCCGCGGTTTTCTTTGTTGTTGGGATTGCGACGGGGTGGTTGTTCTTGCATGTATATCTATCCTCCCCTTTTATTTGGAAATGCAGGGATGTGCTAATGTGGATATGGTATAGGAAACGCTCGCTGCGAAGAAAAATCATCGCGACTATGGATTGGTTGTCGGCGAGGCATTGACTAGCTCGTGTACTTCTTCTCGGAAGAAGAAGTCATCAGAGTCTCACGCTTCAGATGCAGAACGACAATCCCTTCTACCACCAAACACTACCCGTTCAGCGACAGCAACAGCAGCAAAGAAATCCAAACCAACCTGGAGCGAGATCTTCACTCCCCAATCCCGACTCGTCCTGCTCGCTTACGCCCTCATGTCCATGCACGCTATGGCCTTCGATTCCGTCCTCCCTGTCTTCCTGCATAGCCCGGAACAGCAATACGAGGGTAACCCGGACGTGAAACTCCCCTTCAAATTCACTGGTGGATTCGGCGTCGGTATGATCCCTTACTCCTCCCCATCCCCTTTCCCTTTCACTCTCCATACTAAATGCAAGAAATAGACTCCCAAACTATCGGCATCTACTACACCCTCGAAGGCATCCTCGGCATGTTCATCCAATTCCTCATCTTCCCCTGGGCGGCCCAAACCTTCGGCGTGCTCAACTGCCTAAAAGCCGTGGCCAGCGTGTTCCCGGTCATCTACCTGCTCACGCCATTCACAGTGCTTCTTCCCGTCCCGTGGCTGCGCACCGTGGCGATTTTCTGCCTCATGTTGGGGAAATTGTCCGCCTCGATCTTCGGCTTTCCGTGCACCACTATCCTGTTGACAAATTCAGCGAGTAGCTTGAGCGTCCTGGGGACGTTGAATGGGGTCGGCACGAGTGTGAGTGCCGTGGGGAGGGCAGTAGGACCGGCGATTATTGGGGGGGCGTACTCGTGGGGAGTGAAGAGGGGGTGGGGGATTGTGCCGTGGTGGGTGCTGGGTGTGTTTGGAATGTTGAGTGCGGTGCCGGTGGGGTGGATGGGGGAAGAGAATCGGTTGCAGGCTGCAGAGGAGGTGAATGATGAAGAGGGAGGAGAGGAACAAGGGGAGGGGGAGAGAGGGTATGGGAGTGTTGGGGGGAGGTAAAAGAAAAGAAAAATGAAATGAAGAGAAGAGTGGTGGAGGGTGGTGGTGTAAAAGTTATTATTGGATTTTGGGATATGATGACATGCATGCATATATGTGTTATGATAGAATGAACATGATCATTATATAGTATGAATTGAACGGTAGTTGTTAACAATATTGTTGTATACATTAGAGACTACTATATAACGAAGTAAGATATAGATTGGTAGTGTACACATCCATCAACCAATCAGCATCCACAAATTACAACTAGCCTACCTAACCTAGATCATGCCATCATCCCAGTTTCCCCATCATACATACATAGCTACTTAGCTAGTTAGCTACTCACTCCACTCCACCTCACTCACTCACATCCTACTATCTACACAACAACCACAACCACCACCACCACCCACACAATGGTACTACATCCCCTCCCTCATCCCCACCCCACAACCCACTCCCAAACTAACTCTATTAACATCATCATACATAGTCCACAACCACCAAAACAGCCCTCCTCCTCACCCTCCTCACCTCCATCGGCGGCATAACCGGCTACCTGCGCGCGCGCTCCCTCCCCTCGCTGATCGCTGGCCTCTCCGTCTCCTTCCTCTACCTCCTCTCGTATCTCCGTCTACGCGCGAACCAGCCCTACGGTGCAGAGATCGGTCTCTTGGCGTCCCTTGTCCTGGGTGGTGCGTCGATCCCCAGAGCCATTAAGACGGGGAAGGGCGTGCCCATGGGTCTGGGGGTTTTGGCGGTTGTCGGGGCTGTGGTTTTTGGGAATGCGGTGGTTAATAATTAGATGATATATATGGATGGTGGTGATGATATATGGAGGAGGTTGGGGGAGGGGGGTGGGGGGATACTACTTAGGTGGGAAGAGGGGGGGAGGATAGGTGATTGATTGGTTTGATTTGATTGATTTACTGGTGGTGAGGAAGAGGGGCAGTTGGTGTATGATATACGTTTACTATTTTCATGGATGAGATGAATGAAGAATGGATGGTGTTCATATACGGTGTATACAGATAGCTAGCTATAAGCTGTATGATTATGGTGTAGTCTGTATGTAGCCTACCTGCTCGATGTGAACTTACAGTTTCTTTTCTTTTCTTTTCTTTGAAATCATGGTCCTGTCCGTCCGTCTGTCTGTCTGTCCACCACTTCTGCTACGGTTCGTCTCGCTGTCGCTCGCTTGCCCGCCCTACACTGTAAGAGACATTTCCAATCGTGCAAGAAACTGAAACTTAGCTGCTTGATCCGATCCCCTGTCTCTGTCGCTGTCTTCCCAAGTATGCGCATGCTCGTAAAGCCGATATACCGTCTGGCTGACGGGCTCACCGATCCGCTGCATCCTCCACCGTATCCATCTCTCGCGTCGTCCCCGTCACCACTGATGCCGGCACTTCCTCCAGCACCGTCTCCCCCTTCTGCTCGGGAACAAATGCGTACCTTGCCAGCTGTGCCATCTTCTCCTCCGGACTCGTCTCGTTGTCCGAATACACTAGTCGCACGGCCTTCGACTTGTCCTTCTTTGGCTTCTCCTCGCCCTTCTTGTCGGCTGTCGTCTCCGCTTGCTTCGCGGCTCCCGAGATGAGGTCGTCCACCGATGTTGAGATCGTGTCTGTCGGCGCTTGCGTCGTTTCACCGCCATTCAAAGCTGGCGCCTGGCCCATGTGCATCTGTTGCATCTGGTACGCGTTGACCGGCGGCGCTGCCACGGCCGGTCGCTGCGGCAGACCAGGAGGCATAGGAAGGCTGCCCGACCGTGGCGGGAATGCTCCAGTCGTCTGTGGAGGAGTATGGGTTGGAGGAGGTTGTGCCGGGAAAGCCGGTGGAGTGGTGCCAGACGACGCTCCAGGCGTGCCCTGGAAGGGCTGCGGTGAGTATCCCGCCGGAGGGTACTGTGCATTGGGAGGGAATTGTGGCTGTCCGGGGGAGAAGTTCGGATAGACAGGGCTGGCGGTTTGAGGATAAGGAGAGGCAGTGCCGTATGGTTGAGGGAAAGAGAATTGTGAGGAGGTAGTGGTTGCTGCGGCGGGCGCGGCAGCAGCGGGAGCAGGCTGACCCTGCATCATTGTTAGTCGCGTTACCTACAATATGAGAGATAAACACTCACGAATCCGCCCATGTTCGGCGTCTGTCCTGCGCCCACTGGGGTCGCTTCACCACTGCTACCTCCAGTACGTGCTTCCGCCTTCTTAGCCTTGTGCTCCGCCAGTCGCTTCTTCAGATCCGACACGCTCTCCAGCTTAGGCTTCTTTGCTGGCTGTCCGCCGACGCCGGTTCCCGGAGGCGGATTGCCCGTCACGGCCTGCCGTTCGGCCTCTGCCTGTTGGAACTGGGTGGCTACGCGCTGGTTGTGCGACTGGATGATGTCTTCCGGGACGCCCTCCATGCCGAAGATCTCGACGTCGAGGCTGGATCGGTTGGGAAGAGCATTGTCGACCGCCGAAAGCTGCTCCTTGTGGACTTGGCTCATGTGCACCGACAATCCTGTGCTGTTAGTAGGTATCACCCACAGCGCATTGGATTACCTACCTCCTGCTGTGTTCAGCCGGCGCCCGCAGCGCTCGCACTTGAAGTGCTTGGCCTTTTGGTGAGATATGAGAATCTTCAAATCATCAAAGTCGCGCTCACAGTAGTAGCACCATGGACGAGCCAGAAGCTCATCTAGCGTCGGACCGCGTCTCTTTTTACCCATAATGATTGAGTCTGTCTTGGTGTGAAGTGAAAGAAAGGTGATGGGATGATGAAGCAGCTCACTTGGTCGCCAACCAGCGCGGAGTTGAAGTGTTGCGTCACGTGTAGCTCATCATGTGACCTGGCGTCATCCCCCACATGAAGTATACAAATATCTACTATGTTATATATCGACTAGCTAAGTAAACAGCTGAAATAAGAGTGTGGCAATTATTGTATAATACAGCCTTTTATGTGCCCAATGTACATCCTACCTGGTTGGCAATATTCACAACCAACCACGGATCGCAAAAGCCCCGACGCCTGTCGCTGAAAGCACGCTCACTAATCACAGGATAACAAAAGCACAATAATACATACAACGAGCGAAAAGTAGGTATACAAGCCAGCGTAGGTCACGCAGGTCGCGGATGCGGTGGTGGCAGCCCAGGCGCAGGCGCCCCATAAGGACTGTAATACTCCGGATAAGGTGTGCGATACGGCTGCAGCGGCGCTTGCTGCAAAAGACCATGAGGCCCTGGAAACGGTGCCACCGCTCGAGGATCGATAGGAGCATATGGCGTAAGTGACGGTCGCGGGGCAGCAATCGGCGCGAGCTGATGATGCGCAGGAGGACCAGGGGCCAAGGGTGTTGATGCAGGCATCGGTGCGGGCGCGATCCCTGCGTTGGGTCGCGCAGGCTCCCCATACACCCCGCCCTCCGGCTTCTTCTTGATCTTTCCCGGCTTTGGGGGCTCGGATGCCTTCCGGGCAGCCTCCGCTGCGCGGTCGGCCTCGATCTGAGCCTTGGATCGTTTGGGATTGCGCACCCGACCCTCGCGGTTGAAACGCGCCCAGTGGTTAAGCATGGCCTCTGTTCGCTTCGGGTTCTTCGAGTTGGCAATCTTCTGTCGCCGGGCCTGTTCAGCGGGATCCATCCCATCCTCCAGCGTGCTGCTGGGCTGTATGCTTGCGGGAGGCGTAGGCGTCGTACCACTCGGTGCCGGTTCGATCGGCGGCAACTGGGCAGTGGCAGGCCGTGCCTGAAGGGAGCTGGCGACATGTTCGCCCCGTCCAGATGATGGTCGTGGTGCTGAGGTCGCAGCAGCCACCGGCTGATATACCTCCGTCGAAGCAATGACTCCGCCTCCACGAGCTGCACCTCTACCGCGGCCGCGGCCACTTCCACGTCCCCGAACCGCACCTCGAGGGGGTGTCGCGGATGCCTGGGCTTCGTCGACCTCGGTGCCAGGGCGACGGCCACGCGTGCGCCGCTTGGGGCCGTACTCTTCCGTGTCCGTCTGAGCTGGTGTCTCAATAGTGGGCTCTTCGGAGCCAGACGCTGCCAACTCTCGGTTAGCCGCCTCCAACTCTGCGGCCTTGCGCTTGCGCGTTGCCTTGCCAACAAATTCTTCGCGGGGCGGGTTTTGGAACTTCGGCACGTGTTCGACTCCAAACTTGACGATGGTGCGCCAGCCATCCGGGTTAGGATTATTGGGTCCAATCTTGTTCATCATCTTTCGGGATTGAGCGGGCGTTGGCTTGAACCCGCCCTGCGTGAATGGGTTCTGGTTGCCCACTTTATCCTCCTTGGCCTCGTACTTGTAGCCGTAGAGCATGGCTTCCTTCTTATCCTCAAATACTTGAGGCCTTTGCAACTTCCTCGGGTCGCTGGTTGGCTTGGCGTTATGGCGAGTCGCCAGCTTGTGCAGCTTCTCTATCGCTATATACTCATCCTGCCACGCTTTCAAGGCGTATGCCACGTTTTCCGTGATAGCATACAGCTCTTCGGTCGAACGGTGCTCCGGGTCCCGAAGCTGCGCCAAAAATTCTTCTAGGGAAGTCATTTCGAGGAACTCCCCTTTGGCAGCTTTCGCTTTCCTATACGGTTCAGGCCGTTCAGCGAACTCGTTGCTTTCACGCTTCTTGGCGCGCTTCGGGTCCCGGAGCACCATGGACCAAGAGTGGTCCAGCTCAGACGATTTCTCGTCGTAGTCATCCGAGAATTTACGGATATCATTGACGTTCCACAAATTGTGAAGACGTTGATCCAACGAGACTGAGTCTTGACCGCGAGAGAACTCATGAAGTTGATTAGAAAGAGCGTCAGCCTCTGGACCGTCAGCCTCCAATTCATCGCCATCGACGCTTTGGTCCTTGTCGTTATCGTAAGCTTCCGTCGCCTCAGTCACGCCATTTGCAGTGGCTTCATCTTGCTCTTCGTCATCCGCTTCACTCTCGGCCGCTACCTCTGCATTGTCCTCTGCTTGAGGATTGGCTTCCTGAAGTTGAGATTCTTCATCGTCGCCGGGACCACCATACAAGGAGAACTTGGCAATGTGCGGGTGAACAGTAGCAATGTGTTCTTTGAGAGCATCTTGTTGCGACTTGGGATCATTGGCAGACTCGAATCCCTTGCCACACCAAGAGCATTTAGATTTGTGCGTCATAGGGGAGGGGGATGGAGACGCCTGTGTAGAAGTAGAGTGAGCGTGCAATGGCTCGGAGAATTGTCGGCGCAGCGGAGAGTCCTGGCTGGCCAAGTCCGAAGTATGGCTGTCCAGTTCCGCCTCGTTATGAGGAAGCGGAGCCATAATGGACAGAAAGGGAAGATGAGAAGAAGAAGTAGTCAAGGAGAAAGTAGTAGGAAGTGAGAGCACTAGCAAAGGGGATATCTGATTCTCCTTCGAGAGGCCCAACGTGGGATCTGGCTATAGTGTTAGTCGACTAACTTCCGGCTGAAAAGTTCGCTTGCGGCGCCAAGACGCCAGAAGTAACTGCAGCGCAATCTTCTACACCAGACGCCCCGAGAGCGCAAGGGTGGGAAAGGGGAAAACAAAACACGGTCGAGCAAGCAAGACAAGTGAAATGCATGAAGAATTGGGCTGCTCTCCACTGACGGATGGACCAAAACGTTGACAGAAACGTGGCAGACATGGCTTTGGCAGGCACAAGTAGAACGTAGTATGGGTCAGGCAGGTGATATGTAACATACCTTTGGGCGAGAGAAATCCGCGTCAGTGTCTGAAATAAATTGAGATAATCAAGATCTGAAGATGTGAGGAGATCGCCCTCTGAGGAGCGCGATGAAGCAGAAGTATGGTGGTTGTTGTGCAGAGTCAACCACGGTGGACGCCGCGAACGGTTGGCAGGGATAGTTTAAGAGGTTCGTAGTTCTTGAAGAGGAAAAGTAGGAAGCCGAGCGGGTAAGCAGAAAAACTATGCGTCTGCCACGCCGGCAACAAGCCAAGAAACCAGAAGCAAGAGATCTAGACAGAGAAGGTATAATGCACAAGATGAAGGGATTGAGATAGATGGCAAGATATGTTTGCTGTAGAAAGGAGAAAAAGAGCTGGGGGGTGGGTTGTGTTAAAGCTTTCCGTAGCAGTGGAACTATGAAGTCTTGACGGAATGGGGGAAGACGGGCAGATGGCGAAAGAGGGAGGAAAAGGAAGAATGAAAGGGAGAAGATCGGAGGGGGAGGGATTAACCACGAGAAACACCACCAACAGCCCAGCACCAACACGGAAAGCGGGCAGTGAAGAGGCAAGCAAGAGAGATTTGTGGGATGTTTAGACGCAGTGAATGCTGGGGGGGGAAAGGAAGGGAAAGACTTCGAGTTTGTAGAGGCAGCAGGTCGCCTTCACAAAGCGATCTAGTAGGAATAGTAAGTGTCCCAGTAAAGAAAGTACTTGAGCTTTACTTACCTTACCTGGCCGGACTGGCCTTTGCAATCAACTTTTCGCACTGGGTTGGTATCGGCACCGCTTGGCCGCTGGTACGCGCCATACGCAAGTTACCTTATTTTACTGTATGGACCCACCCAAATAGCCAATCTGGGGCCCTGATCCGCCCGGAAAAAGACCAGCTCCGGATAGATCCCCGTCACGCAGACGCCGTAGTCTTAATCAGGCCAATCAAAATAATCGCAGTGGTCTGCTGGTCTGTTACCGGACAATACCCCCAGTCCTGTAGTCCAGGTCGGAGGTATACCTTGAGCGCCCTGAAGATGGGCTTGTTGATGCTGAGGATGCTTTTTTTTTCTCCTCCAGGGGCTACTCCTCGAGGGAAAGTATCCCTAGTTCAGATAAAGTACTGACTATCGTAGTAGCCGTCAACTCCGTATGAGGAACCGGGGGTAGATCACAGCACAGCTGGCGTCAACTTCGTCTCATCTTTCGGGTTGCCAACCTGATAGATGGACATTCTTCTACCGTGTACCTGCCTGAGTCATGGGGCGGTATTGTTACCCCGTCTACGTGACATCATCTACTACGGTACTTTAGGTACTTTATTGAGGGATAAATATCTCTAGTCGATAATAATTAGAATATTCCTTACAAACCCATCATATCTATGCCTTAAGCTACAACGTATCGAGTGTCCCCATTCCTGTTTTCCAGACAAACGGCAATGTGGGAAAAATGGGCTGATGGTGCTCGGGAGCGACCAGTCAAATTGCCAGCCGTTGATGAACCATCACGGAATGTCTCGGTAACAAACCATGCTGAAAGCATACTATAAAGTGCGACGAGCGGGGGAAATGATCGAGTCCTAGCAGGTTCTGACATGATCATTAGGTAGTTGCGTGGACGTTGGTGGGCCCAGATTTTCACACAGTCATCATTATCATTTTCAAAGAATTAGTATGACGATACTGATTGTTATTATACCCCAGGCTAGACTTAATATCTAGCTCACCTCGACTGATTCGGGCAGCTCCTAATCAATTGATCCCTGTGTTATCTCCTGGTCTTATCGGGCATAACACCACCTCGGCGGAATTCTTCTGCTACAGGCATCGCTATATATTCAGCAAGGTGTCTACGATGGTTCATATTATCAATGTAGCGATCAATGGTTCTCTAACACCCGAGTCGTTGTCATTATCATTGAAAACATGACTCAATGATATCTATTTTGCCATATTCCGGTCGTGGATGCATTAAGTTTCTTGGCCCATTATACATTTCTATGGCGTCGATATCCTTCACCGCGCACCCCTTTCAAAGCTTGCTGTATAATTTGAAATATAAGTATCACACCATAGATAGCCTGTAACTACTTTTGTGCTCTCATCTTTTCAGCAACACGCGCTGTTATCCTTCTGACATTGTTTCACAGGGACCCGCCACGCGGCAGAGTATTACATTTCTAACACGCAAAAGCCTGTTTCATCCCTCGACTATGAAGGACTGGGGCATACACGCGGTCTCCAGTAATGAATTGCTCCTGGGGTCATCAAGCCTACAAGCTGAGCGACGATGTTGTCCTCCTTCCGGGTGCTGGCAAGCAAGGGGCTGAAAACTCATGGAAGATCGGCTTGCAGCGCTGACAGTTACATACCCCTACGTTAGCATCTAATCATAACTCGTGGCGAGCATTGAGTCAAACAGGTGGTCTCTAGCAGTAAATACTATCGGCCACACGTACTGTGTCATGTTGCGCAATGGATTTATCTGCGGTCTGTTTGATTATAAGGATTGGGTTTGAATTTTCAAATGCATGACGGAGTGAGGTGGGGAGGCCTTTGCTTCTTTGATGAGATTTGCAGGAGTACTATTGGTGTAGCCTGGACTCTCTTGCATTATTGGGTAGCAGATAATGCATGTTCAAAAAAGCACCAGCTGTCGTGTCCACTGCTATGTACTAAGCTGGTGTTAAGTGGATTATCGGGTGTGACTGTATCATGCTATTACCAACAAGTAGTCTGAAGGTGTACTTTGTCGAACTGGATATATAAAGGGAAACTTGATGGTGCGGCTAATTTCTCCTAGTACTGATTACTTTGGAACAATGAAAGCTACTAGTAGGTTACCTTCGGTTCGAAATCCCCTTAATGTAGCTCAAGTAACTCAAAAATATAAGTAGCAGTAGAGCTAGTAGACAAGATATATTTCTGATGTGGGCAATGCACCTACTAGTTGGATTGTCCGTCGAATATCTATTTATAGTTTAGTTTGTTACGACTGCAGTATGCTGCAGTGCTTCTAGTATACACGCGTCTGGACGGTTTCGCCATTCGATGCAAGTGAGACAAAAAGCCACTGCGATAAAGCCACCCGCCATCTATAGCTTGGAGTAAGTATGGCACTGGACGAATCCCTCCAAAGGCAGAGTAGAAAGATTACTTCAACCCGCTAACGCCTCCTGGGCCCTTGGCGCAGGTCATCCGGGCTCCACCGCCCAACCTCGGATTCCCCAGAGCTCCAGCTTGCCGTCCATTTCCTTCCCGATATTATTGTCTTCTGCCTGACTGTTCTACCTGCCCGCCATCCTTCAATATACCATAACTTCACTCATAAGGCATTGCTACTGTTCACACAATGCGCCCCAAGTCTTCAAAACCCACCAGCGATGAGCTGCTCGCTCAATTTGACGACCTGGGGGTCGATTCTGCTCCCGAGCAGCAGCCCTCCAAGACGGCTCCCAAACCCACCACGGCACAGTCCGAGCAGGACATTCTCGCAGAACTGGACAGTCTAGCCACCCAGCGCCCCAGCAGTGGCCCAGGAACCCCGCGCGTGTCTACAAACGAACCCAGACCTACGATCAAGTCGCCCAAACCGGCTGCCTCTACCACAACCCCCTCTACCGGCCGTTCTAGTGAAGAGAGACAGGCGCCCCGTAAGTCGGAGGAGATCACCAGAGCTTCCGCTACGGAGAAAAAGGCTGCAGATGTGCCGAAGCCGGAGCCTGAGAAGCCAGAGGCTCAGGAGAAACCTGCCTCGAGCGGTGGTGGCGGTGGATGGTGGGGTGGTATCTTTGCAACCGCCAGCGCTGCCATGAAGCAGGCTGAGGCGGCGGTCAAGGAGATTCAGCAGAATGAAGAGGCTCAGAAGTGGGCTCAGCAGATGAAGGGCAATGTAGGAGCTCTCAAAGACCTAGGTATATATTCTTTGTATAACTTCATTTCGTTTTGAATGGTCGCTAACGACAAACCACCAGGTGGGGAGCTGCGCAACATGGCTATTCCTACGTTTACCACTTTAATCCATACACTCGCTCCTCCCATCTCGTCCCATGAACGCCTTCAAATCCACGTAACACATGACTTGTCTGGCTATCCCAGCATCGACCCTCTGGTGTACGCGGTCTTCTCGCGCGTGATGGCGCAGGTCGAAGGCGGGGATCTCCTTGTCATTCAGCGGGGCCAGGAGTCAGCTCCGAAGCGCGGACTGGATATTGGCGGCGCCCAGTTCTCTGGCCCAGGCTGGCATGATGGCCCATGGTGGCGCACCGTGACGCCCGGCAGCCCTCGCACTCTGTCGGCCATCCGAGGCACAGTCGAGGCCACCAAGCTTGCGCGGGCCAGCGCCGAAGCCTACGCTACAGAGTATTTCTCGGCCAAGGGCGGCGTAGAAGCGGCTGCAAAACAAGCTACTCAAGATCTGAGCGAGACCAACCCGGTCCGCAGCAGCGATATCTTTCTTGCGATCCAGGCCATCAGCCAGACCACCTCAACCGAACTCTTCCAGGCGGGTCCCACAACCGACCAAGCCACCCCGGCGGGCGTTGTGGACGTGCCCGAAGCCGCAGAGGAAGAAGTCGTCTTCGCGCTGTACCTCCACGACCCCATCCACGGCATCGCCTTCCACACGCTCTCCCAGGCCATTCCCCAGAAATGGATCGACTGGCTCGAGACCCCCGCTATCCCAGTGGAGGACCCCGAGGCCGAAGATGCCAGCGTCCCTCGGACCACCATCCCCGACGACATCGCCGACATCATCGAGAGCGGCGGCGTCGACCCCCGAGAATGGGCGGCCGAATGGATCGAGGAAAGCCTGTCCCTGGCTGCGGGGTTGGTTGCACAACGCTACGTGGCGCGGAGAATGGGCGTCGGCGAGGGCGGACCGGCCAAGGGCAAGATGCGTGCTGAGCAGGCATCCGTGGTGGACAGTGGCGCGGGCGAGGCCGCACGCGCGATTTAGAGTTAGATTGATGTGGTGGATACGTCGATCAATCCTGTCCTCTTATCGCATTTGCGTCTTACTTTTATCCTGTCTGCCTTTTTTTTGGGGCGCTTGTCAACCCTTCACATGACCACATGATACGACCCGACCCTTAACCCCCCCAATTCACACCTTTACCCCCACATATTCTTATCTTTGTTGTATTGAGCCATGATATGACAGCTTTTTTATATTCGCGCCATCTGCGGCGTTCTTAATACCATATACATACATACAGACAGTCTTTGAGCTAACACCCGTATCCAATCAGTCCCATGTACATACAACTGACCCATGATAACAAACAAATACAATTAACGCAGTCTACGGCATCTAATTTACCTGACATACTATACGTGCCCACATTGAAACTCTAAAATGACAAAACAGTGATCATAAAATGTATTCCAATATTCTCAGGAACATAAGTAACAAACACAACCTTTGCGGGTATCTAAGGTAGTAAGTAGTAGTAGTAGTAACCAGATAGTAACAAGCAGACAGACACGTAATCTCCTTATCACATCATCTTCATCTACAAGGTCGTTATTCCGTTGCATACGCATGCATCAGGCATGAATTGAATTGAATCAATCAGTCCAGATGCAGCAATTGCCCTTCCAGGCCAGGAACATGCCAGAAGTTAGCGCGGAGAGCGGTGACACTAAACAGCATTATTAGCATATATTCTCAGAACTCCCGAGCAAGCAGGAAATAAAAAGGGAAAGGTAAACCAACCTAGTACACCCACTCAGAACAGTATGAGCATCCGTCCCCTCGGGACTCTCCTGCAGCGCCTTCTTCATATCAGACAACTCCGCCGCCCAGGCAAAGTTGCGTTTCTTCAGACCAGTCTCACTCTTGGGTGTGGCTGTCTTCGATGGAGTAGTGGTACCATTAGTGAGCTCCTCCCCATTAGCATGTCCATTGACTCCAACAGGCGCGGCCTTCTCCCCGGACACCTCAGAGTACAAGTACCCTCTAGCCCAGTAATACGGGTACGTGCGAGTCCACAGCACAGGACGGGACTCGACATCCAGACGCATCGGCACATTCACATTGTACAGCTCGACCTGGTCATCCCAGTTCTGGATGAGATGGTTGACGACTCTTGTAGCGAGACGAGCCGCGGCGTGGATGATATCTAGGGGCTGTTCATCTTTGCTGCCGAAGGAGATGGCGATGCCACGTTTCCCGCATGTGGCTGCTTCCAGGGCGCCGCCGACGGTGCCGGAGGAGAGGTTGTAGATGGTGGAGGCGTTGCGGCCGTGATTGGGGCCGGAGATGACGAGGTCGATGGGGCCGCGGTCGGGGAAGAGGTTGTGGAGGCCGAGTTGGACGCAGCTGGCTGGGGTGCCATTGGTGATTATGACCCAGTCATTGTCATTGTTGGAAGTAGTGGTAGGATCTTGTTGGAAGGATTCATCCCATGTGCCATCACCGCGGAAGGCAGCTGGTGGGACATAGGTGGCTGTGAGGGAGGCTTCGATTAGATGGGCTTTGCCGATCCAGGAGCGGGAGGCGGCGGGAATGGCCACGGAGATGCGGTGGCCGGCGGACTCGAGAGCCGTCACTAGTGGCTCGATGTATGGGGAGAGGCGTCTGGACGGCGGACCGTCGTCGTTGACCACCTGATTATTTTGTTTTTGTGTTAGTGTATCTGTTTAGCTAATTGGAACTAGTCATGCTGCGTTCTCCCCTGCTCCGTATACGGAGGAGGGTAGGTAAGTAGGTAGGTAGGTAGGTAGGGAACATGGGGGTTGGGAAAGGAGCGGTGACATTGGGCAGGGCAGCACATGTAAAGTTCAATTCATGATGACGAAGGATGGAGATGTTAAAAAAGCAAATACATACCAATATATGCATGATGAAGGAAGATCTAGTAGATGTTTTGGACTCGTCTTGGGCAATAAGGGAAGAAGAATGGTATATTCTTTTTCTTTCTTTTCTGAATCGGATTGAATTGGATTGGATTGGACTGATTGAATTGATGCTTCGGACTTTTGAAATCGGAATTTACAAAAGCAGCGACCTATTATTTCCCAACGATTTCTCTCAAGATTCCCACTTTCACACACACACGCGCGTTGCACTCTTTTCGCTCTTCTCCGATGGAAAGTGGATGGATCCGCACTGGGATTATTTTGGGGCTCGGACTCGGGTTCAGGGTTCAGTTTGTATTGCAGTGATATATGATAATTGCTTCTCCAGATCAACATCTGGCAGCTGTTCCTTCCCCCCCGTATTTATAGGGAAGATTTAGCTGGGTAATAGTTGAGCCCGACAGCCATTTTCGATCACCGTTTACCCCGACCTCGAAGAGAAACCGGGGAGAATCTGGCCTCCATCTCCAAATCGGTCACGGTGAAGCTGTTGCACTGCGGGGGGCGTTGCTCGAAAGACGTCAACTGTGGTTGCGAGCCTCCGTCATGACGGTGACCGGACGGGTATGGAACGGGGCTGGAACTATGGGATTGAGAGTATATTACAGGTAATATTACAGTATGTGACAGAACGGGACGGAGGACAGCCGAGGTGCTCCGAAAAGAGGCTGCGGTGAGAAAAAGCAAAGCCTGCGATTAAGTCACACCTCGTGGGGATTCAAGAAGACGAATCGGACCATCCAGAACGGGTGCATTTCCAAGGAGGAAATTTGCCCGGCCTGAAAACACGGCAGTGAGACGGTCAGCTGAGGAGAAAAGAATGTCTTGCTGGGACTCGAAGGGGTCGGGTTATTGTTTAGATAATAGATTGATTTCGTCAGTAGATCTTGAAGAATAGTATTCCCGTCGCATGTCAATAGTAGGGAATTCATCAGGCCCTGTGGAAACAACACTATGTCGGTCATGGCTTTAAACTACTACGAACTAGCCAAATGTCTAGTAGGACAGGAGGGTGATCCGAGCATGATGGAAAATACCCCGTAGAGTAAGGCACCAGGAGGTGCAGACGAAGGTAGCTTGGGGCCCGAGCAAAAGCAAAGAAAGAAAGCAAGAAAGTAAAAGAAACAAGAAAATCATCAGGCGGCGGCGCATGTTCAATGCAACACAACGATTGCCTCAGATATCCTAGATTAGAGTACAATAAGGTAGACGGCAGAAGACCAAATAAATCCGACAGGGGAGATTGTCGTCGCCAATCAGTAGAGATACCAAGGAATGCCTACTCCTCCGTACATATGCACTGAGGACCCCTAGTGTCTGCATACTTCTTCAAGTAGGGGACATTAAGACACACACATACTTAGATCCTGGCATCAGTGTGCCATTCAGTGCTGTTGGCTTATCTACGGAGGGTTTCTTGAATATTCGGGCTAAAAAAGGTCATGTGTGTATCACTGTATGCATATTCTTAGCTAAGATGATCACTATGATCAATTAATTATTGCGCATCACTCATGAATAATCGGTAGAATAATCATCACGTCGCCCACTAACTAACCATCTTACTATCCACACAATGTCCTGAATGGCACACGGGTGTGTGCGGCTATTGCAGGCTCAGAGTGGTTCCGTGCCCTACTGATTATTATTCATTATTGTTAGCTGTTTAGGTTTTCTTTTTGTTTGCTCTGTTTAAAAAAATTTTTTTTTTTTTCTCAGACCCTGATGGGGCCACACTATGAATTTTGATATGCGAGTCCTGATCCAGCCATGGACAGGCTTCTAGAATAAGAATCAGGACTACTGTGCTAGGCCGCCGGACCACACACGCTGATTGCTCAGGAGCGCCTTATTCTTAGTTGGAAAAGCAACCACGGTCCCATCCCACCGGCGCCAAGTTGCCAATCATTCCTCTCGGCGGGTCTGTTCTATCCACGCTTTGCGCCATGGCGTTGTGGTTACTCCGTGGTAGCCGCGAGTCAAACAGCCCCTCTGACCACCGGCACCTGGACCGACCATTCTAGCAATAATCGATCCATCCGCGGAGGACAGCCCCCCGTAGTCGGTTTCAACGGAATGATTTTCTCGCGTAATCCTGGACTGTCATGTTGGCAACTCACACTATCGCTCACCAACCAGGATTGTGGGTGGTCGGTAGTGTGAGTAGTGTGAGTGCACCTGCACTGGCTGCTGCTTCACTGCTGCAAGTGGTCCTTGTCCGTCGGCCCTCCTTGTTCATCGTTCGTAGGTGCAGTAGTTTCAGGCGCGAGGGGACGATCCACGGCTTGACCCCTCTTTGTACCGCGTTGGTTTGTAGGGAGGACCCCTGAGGATCAAACTCCGACGGCCATGAATAGATAGCGAGGCGTACGTAGCTCTCTGGACGCGGTGTGATTTCCCCCTCATGATGGTCAAGGATAGCCGCTGGACCAGCTGCACGATAGATTAAGATTAATATGCGTAGAACAAGTCATCTGGCAGGCAGCTGCCATCTATGGATGAGGCCGCGGAGGAGGAACCCAGCTCGTGCGTATGCGGACCTGGTCAGTGCGGAACTTATCAGAGGAAATAGTAGAATAAATCCAGTGTTTAATGCAAGCAGCACCTCGGAGGCCGATCGTCGCAAAATCTTTGGTGGGGAAGCCCAAGCAGCGCCAACCCAGTCGGTCCAAGTCAGTCAGCCACGGACGCCGATTTTCTGCTCGCTTCGTCAGTCCAGCAGTGACTATCCATCTTCTTCCTTTCACTCCTGCTTCGTGCATCACTTTCATCATCGCCTTCAATCACGGTCATCATCTCCATCATCATCCCTGTCCGCTTATATATCTAGCGGTCCTTTTCCCTCCCCCGCCCACCACCACTACTACTAACTCCGAACCTCCGCGAAACCCACCCACCGCCCGCTTCGGTTCCCAACAGACTCAGGAACGCGCCAAAGACCTGCTCAGCTGCTCCAAAGGTCTTTCTTACATCACCATCCCCCTTCCATCTGCCCCCCTGTATGGACTGCGGGACGACTGGCACGGCTGCGGGCATCGACCCCAAAATTTTAGATAATTGGCAATCGGATACGTTTCCGATCTCTTCCTGGGAACAACATCCCGCTTACGACCAACCGCTGGAGTGGGATGCGAGCCAGGACTCGAGCCCAGGTGATGCGGATATCGTGGATCTGAATAACCTCCGTGGTCCCCTGTCGCGGGACCAATCCACCGTCCCGGTGGTAGGTCATGCAGGCGACTTTCGAGGTAGTGAGAGCAGGTGCGAATTATTCCATCCTCCCCTAAACCCTGGAGCTTCCGGCTGACAGGTACCCCTCCCGCGCAGCAGCAAACATGGTGCCACTTCCCCTGGGAAGTTCAGCATCAACGACGGTCCTATCGAAGGCACCGTGAGTGGTACGATCAGCCCGAGGACGCTGCCCTCTTCCGCCGACGATAACTTCCAGCTGGATGAGTCATGGCCGCCTTTTCAACTGTTCAACGCCATGACGGCTGGCCTTCCCATGGAGGCTCCCCTGATGTACCCGTACGCCAAGGAGCCTACCTCTACCAATACGGTTATTGTAGAAGACACCGGAGAGTTGCCGCAAGGACAGGGCTTGTCCGATCTTCCTCCCGATCCATTCCTCTCCTTTCAGAATATCCCCCAGGCTTTTCCCTTCTCGACCGCCGAGGCCTGGACGGCACCGACTGCGACCACTCCCACGGAGAACCTGCCTAACCAGACCCCGGTATCCCTGGCGATGGGTCTGCAATCGGCTAGCAAACGCTCAGGACACATCCGCGACTACCAGGGCTCGATGCGATCACTGGATTCTCGCTGGCTTGAAGGTCTGGAGTCTCAGCTGTCTTCCAACATGACATCCCCAGCATCGTTGTCGATCCCCCAGGACGCGACATTCTTTAAGGAGGAGAGAATCCAGCATGACGGCTTGCAATACAAATCGGAGAGTTCTTCGGTTTCTGGCGACTTCCCTAACGTCTACGAATCGTACCCCGCTAGCAACGACGAGATCCCCGCTTTTGCTGATCGCCAACTCGAAGACAATGGACTCTGGAAAGATACCCAAAAGGACAGCACCTCCTCGGAGACATCTCAACCTCTACAAAATGCGACCGCCTTCATGGTCAGTGAAGACCCATCGGAGGCCTACTTCACGCCGGTCTCTGCAAGACCCAGAGCCTCGTCATCCGCGCAGAGGGCACCCGCTCGGCCACAGGCTCTCGCACTACAGACAGTGGCCACAGTCAGGAAGCGCAAGCAACGTAACTCAAGCGTGCATCTGGACCAGAACCTGCCCAAGCCGTTGCAGATCGTGCAGGAAGACGGCCAGGGAGGATCTATTGCTTCGGCGGATTTTATATCACCGCCTCGGGGAGCGCGCCGCAAGGGCCCTTTGAGCATGGTCGGCAGAGCCAATGCTGGACTGCGAAGAAAGAACAAGGACACATGTGTCCAGTGTCGACTGAACAAGCGCAAGGTATGCACTCAGCCGATCTAATTCTAGATTTGCGTCTAACGAAATTGCAAGTGTGATGGCAACGCTCCGTGCGATGCTTGCCGCCCTACGCTCCACGAACAGCCTTGCGCACGTGCCTGCTTTGCCAACATTGTCGAGTATGGTACATGTAATTATGTTTGTATGTTGCGATCCCCACGCCACTAGGATTGGTTCTTGTTGCTAACGGACACCAGCTCAACGAGCGATCAACCATCCCACCACAGATGGTGCTAGACGCGTCCGGATGGACATTCCTTCTGAGTTCGACCTCAACGATCTGATCACGTTCCTCGGTGAGCGACAAGGTCGATTCAACATCCGTGCCAAGCAGTCCTGGGGATCCCTTTATGTCCTTGACCTTGGGGAGACCTACAAGTTCCTACGCGGACTCAGCGAGTACAATGGCAACTCAAAGTCCAACTTCCTCGATTTCATTGATCGGCGCATTGTCGAATCGAAGGACAAGTCCAAGAACTGGCTCACATGCGTGAAAGACTGCGACCCGATGAACAACGTCTATGTAAGTGACCTTTGGTGTCCGCTTGATGCGAACAATTACTGACTTCGACAGTCCTTACTCTCGCAATGGAATAACATGCCTAGCCGTGCTAGCTACAGTTTCGTTCCTCTCCAAGCCGGAGGCCATGAAAGAACCATGGACATCAACAACCCTGAAGACCGTCGCGAGATCCTCCTTGCAGCACAGCTGTCCCGCATCATCTGCCGTATGCTTGAGGTGGAGGGATTCCGAAAGCTGGAACGCGACTTCTACAACATCAAGTGGAAGCAGATCTCTCAAGAAACCCACTTGCGTTTCCTGAGCGAGCTGGGCCATATCCTGCTTACCCTCCGCTGGCGAGTTTCTTGGTGGCGTCGTCTCGGTGACGGCGGTCGCGAACCCGACCCCAGTAAGCAGCATTACGTGGATCGGGTCGACCTACTCTGCCGGATACTTTACGTCTACTACACCTGCGTCCTGGCCAAGCTTCCTTCCTGGTGCGCCGCCGATGTTCCCAAGGGCATCTGGAACACCTATGCCGATGCGGAGAATGCCGTGTGGGATGACTTCCCGGTCGACCCTACTGACGAAGGATTCCGGAGGTGGATTGATCGCGGCCAAGAGCTGGTCGAGCAGTCCGGTGCCCCGACCTGTGTTGCGAAGCTAGGCAAAAATGCCTAGACGAGTCGACCCGGTGAAAAACAACCCAAAAACGACGGCGGATGGAATGATACTGAATTTGAGATACCCTTTGAAGCGATATAACTTTCTCTCGTCTCCTCTACTTTTGCGTTTTCATGAGTGATGATCCGTGCTAATTTTCGTGGATATAATTTTTATTTGGGCTGTGGAAATTTCTCCAAGCTGTGTATATGCCATTTCTCATACATAGTTTAGATTTTATTCAATTTCGGTTCAATTTCAATTTCTAGACGAAGATAACTTTGCAATGAACGGTAGAAGGGTATCGTATGTTCATTAATCATATACTGAACAGAATGAAGTAATAGCAACAGCAATAGTATCAACCCCCACACCTCCCTCTACTCAGCACAATCCGAAGTAATGCTCCTATTTCTTCGCCTTGCCCTTGTCCTTCTGCTTATCCTTCTTTCCTCCCGCCAACAACTCCAAATGTCCCGCCTTCTCTGCAAGATTCTTCTCCGTCCGAGCCGTCAATCCCGCCGTGAGTTTCTACAACCGACACCAATTAGCCTCAATCCGCACCCCTCCCCCAAAGAAACCCTCCAAGAGATAGATAAATACCTTAGTCAACTTCTGCTGCTTAATCAACGTCGTCTTCTTCGGAGCAATCTGTCTCGGTCCGCGCTTGGGACCCAGGGCTGAGGGACTGCACAACATGCCAAAGATTAGCTTAACTGATCGCTTGACAACACACCTCCTCGCTTCTTGTCCCGTATGTCAAAATAATCCATTGATTTTCCCCCCTTTCCCCCAATTCCCAAGAATAGACAGATAGACAGATAGATAGGTAGGTGAATAATAAAACGTACCGCTTCACAAGATTCCCACTGTTGCCGGCGGGCTTCTTCTTGAGGGATCCTTGGACCATGATTGCAATTTGTATTATATTTCTTTTTCCCCCTTCGTGTAAGATGATAGGATAGGAAAGGAGAATCGGTGGCTGCCCGCAGCGATGGGTATGTATGTATGTTGGTTTCTGAGTTGTGGTCGGTTCTCGGTCGGAGAAAAGAAAATTGCTTATCGGAGGGCGGAGTGAGGAGAAATCTTGTCTTTGGTTGCTGGGGGGGGGTTAGCATTGCTTATCGATATGTCACGTGACCGTGAGAGAAGTATTGTATGCATTAGTTGGGATGGACTTATGGTGTGTATTGTTATGATTCTATTTGGTTTTGTTGTTATGCATGTTTTATGATTTGGAGGTCTAATTGAGCATAAAGGGAGAGTTATGTGCTAGTGCTACAGTGTTATGATCTGCGTGTTGGATTGTTGGTTTTTCTTTTTGTCAGTCTGTTGGTATGAGAAAGGGGGGGGATGAATGGATGGGGTCGGATTCTTTGCAAGTTTCAGATTAAGCTGCGGTGTAAGCCGTTGGTATGGGAAAATGACAGAGAATAGGGCGGAGATTTAGATTAACATGAAGATGAAGGAACAAAGAAGGGATGGGAGGGAAATTGGCATCTTAGATTATCAGTCATTCATAGGATCGGGGGGCCCATTTACATGAAACGTTAGTGGGAGATCATTTACTGTACGTGTAGACTATCTAAGAGGTAGAGAGCCTCCTAAGGCTGATTTACGATGGTAAGTATCATCGAAATGCAGATTTAATATAATACAATGCTCTTATTATTACCCTTGCTCATTAACTATGGGGGTATATTGTCATAAGTAAAGAGTCGACGAATCGAATCGAATCGCTGCAAACATGAATAATCTCAACACACTCTCTCGCGCTTGCGCGTTCTTGTACATACAACTGTCTCAGCTAGGTACAACCTCCATCACTTTACAAATCCCTAAGAATGCTGGATTGCTGCCCCATTTAGAAAGCAAGGACGGCAGCGACACCGACGGCGACGGCGCCGAGGCTGATGGCGTTGCGGTCAGCAGCACCGGTGAAAACGGGAGAGACGGAGGAGCTGCTGGCAGCAGGAGTGCCAGAGGGAGTGGCAGAGCTGCGGATGAGGCTGGCAGAGCCGGAGGCAGAGGGAGCAACGACGAAGCTGGTGGGCTTGTTGCCACCGACCACAGGGACGGAGGTGGGCTTGACGTCGGCAGTGGCAGTGGCAGTGGCAGTCTCGGGGCAGATAGTGCTGGTGATCTTGCTGATGATAACGCTAGTCTCGGAAGCATCAGAGCTCACAGCGGCGGCGGCAGTGGTGCTAGTGGCAGCGGCAACAGAGGAAGAAGAAGAGTAGTAAGGGTTGGAGATGCCGAACTGGACGGAGTACTGGTACTGGCCAGTGCCCTCGACAACAAGGAGGATACCGTAGTGGGTGGTGTCAGGCTCGAGGGTGGTGCTGGGAGTCCAAGAGTAACTGCCAGAGTTGTCGATGTCTTCGACAATGGTCTGGATGGGGACGACGTTGGTGCTGGGGCCGCGCAGAAGGACAAGAGACACGGTGCCCGAGGTAGTGGGGTCCCAGGTGATCTCGAAGGGCTTGCCAGCAGGAACAACCTGGTTCAGTTCGGGGGTGAGGATGGCATTGCCGGTGGGGTTCTGAGAGTAGTCGGGCTGAGTGTAGGCAGAGGCCAGGGCCGCAAGGGCAGAGACAAGGGCGGTGGTGAAGAAACGCATTTTTACAGGTTCACTTTCGTGTCTTGTGCGTGAAGTAAAGAATGATAAGAGGTAGGGATATTGAGAAGTGGTTTCAAAGAGTGACTGGAAGTAAGACTTCGTGTATGTAGTGCAAAGGAGTGACTACCGTGGGAGAGGGCGAAAACGCGAGGGACGTCAAATCGTGAGAAGGGAAGGAGAGAAAGAGAAGGAGGAGGGGGGAGAAGAGACATTCAAGTATATGAATGATGGGGATGCGACAGGCGTAGGACAAGTCCATTCACAGCCCCCCTCCCAATTCCCCCCTATGGAGGGGATGACATTCACTACTACCTACCAGGCTCCGAGCCCAACATCGCCAAATCTGCGGCTCATTTACCCGGTGGGTCAAAGGAAATTATTCTTTCAAATTGCTGATTGGGAACTTGCTCAGGAACAGCGTTCAAGACTACTGCTAGTTACCTACTATTGCATGGTTAGTGTGAGAAATGCCTGGTAAACTTTGAGAACGGTGGAATGTATGGGGCCTACCCTCCCCCGACTAAACCTTGCGAAATGAATTGGCGATGTCACCTCAAGCCAGTATGACTCTCTGACTGGCTTACACAGAGCGGTTTA